ATGACGATTGCAATCCATGCATCAGCAAGCAACTGAATTTCCCTGCCTGCAATCAAGCTCATCGGTGAGCAGCTCTTTCTGCCTGCCTGCCTTCCTGCCTAGACTTGTGAACTTCAACTCCCAGCAAAGCTGGCTGAGGAATTCTGGGAGTTGAAGTCCACAAGTCTTAAAGTTGCCAAGGTTGGAGACCCCTGTTCTATTGGATAAGTTTTTTCCCCCTTTGGGAGCTTTAAAAAAATAGTTAATTGGGGTTTTTTTTAGTTGTTCTTTTTTTAGACCTAGCCATTTAAAGTTTAGGAAGTTTGAAATTTAGCTGCTTTTAAATAAAAATAAAAATAAATTAAAATAAAATAATATTTGTGCAGCTTTCTGAGATTTAGTGTGTTTCTGTAGTGTTTCACTCTAACTACACAAACACACAAAATCTCACAAAGCTATATGTGTAATTTTGTGTGTGTAAAGTGTGAAAGTTGGTTTTTTAGGCTTTTTGTGGCTGTGTGAGGTTCCTGCTTGTTGCAGGGGCCATTTTGGGTCTAGCACAGCTGCTTTTACATTGTGGGTGAGCCAGTTGTGTTTGTTTATTTATTTATTTATTTATTTATTTATTTATTTATTTATTTATTTATTTATTTATTTATCAAATTTCTATACCGCCCTACTCCCGAAGGACTCAGGGCGGTGAACAGCCAAGATAAAATACAGATAATACAAATATTAAAAAATCCCTTAAAATTATTAAATATTCGGCCGAAACACAGATTAAAACACCCAATTTATAAAATCACGAATTAAAAAAATTTAAAAATTTAAAAGATGGGAGTTAGGCCAGGCCAGCTTGCTGAAATAGAAAAGTTTTGAGAGCACGGCGAAACGTGCGCAGGTCCGGGATCTTCCGTATCTCTGGGGGGAGCTCGTTCCAGATGGTAGGTGCCCCCACAGAGAAGGCTCTCCCCCTGGGGGCCGCCAGTCGACACTGTTTGGCCGACGGCACCCTGAGGAGCCCCTCTCTATGGGAGCGTACTGGTCGGTGAGAGGCTATTGGTAGCAGAAGGCGGTCTCGTAGATACCCCGGTCCGATGCCATGGAGCGCTCTAAAGGTGGTAACCAAAACCTTGAAGTGCACCCGGAAGACCACCGGGAGCCAGTGCAGCTCGCGCAGGAGGGGGGTCACATGGGAGCACCACGTCGCTCCCATAACCACCCGCGTGGCCGCATTCTGGACCAGCTGGAGCCTCCGGGTGCTCCTCAAGGGGAGCCCCATGTAGAGAGCATTGCAGTAGTCCAAGCGGGAAGTAACGAGAGCATGAGTGACCGTATTTAACGTTGTGTTGTGTTGTGTTGTGTGTGTGTAAAGTGTGGAAGTTGATTTTTTGGGCTTTTTGTGGCTGTGTGAGGTTCCTGCTTGTTGCGGGGCCATTTTGAGTCTAGCACAGCTGCTTTTACATTGTGGGTGAGCCAGTTGTGTTGTGTTGTGTTTTGTAGGTTAAAGAAGGGCAAAGAAGTGACATTGACTTGGCCACACCCACCCAGTCACCTTACCACCAAGCCCCGCCCACTAATAAAGCCACGCCCACAGAACCAGTAGCAAAAAAAAATAGATTTCACCCCTGAATTGTATATTGTGTTGAAAGCAGAAATGGTTAAGTTGTGGTTTGGAGGAATATATGGGGAAAATTATTTGGTTTATTATTATTGGTAAATATAATTAATTAATTTGTAAGAAATTGGATTGCGTGGAAATAATTGGAATATTCATGTTCATATTGATTAATATACAAAAAAGATAGTTATATAACTAATTGATTTATATTAAAATGTTGAATTTGTATTAAACAATTGTAATATTACATAATTAACCAATGTGAAGATGGATATAAAAATAAATGACAATGGGAAGGGGTATAATATAGAATAGAAGGGAAAAATTGAATTTGATTAAAATTAGAGATGAGGATGAAGGGTAATATTGTTTTTTTTAAAAAAATAGATGAGGAATAAATATGGCAAAAAGGAAATATAGAAATTTTAAATTAAATGAAATGACTAAACACTGTTTAAATTTGTGAACCGGCCAAATACTCTGTTCAAAGAAAATACATTGTATGTTTGTATGTGTGTTTGTCTAAAAAAAAAAATAACTTTTTACAAAAAAAAAACCAAAACAAAAATGGTGGGTGCATCTTATACTCCGAAAAATATGGTACTTCCATTTTATTTGTGTGTGTATGTATGTCTAGGATAGTAGTGGAAGAGAAAAACAATTGTCCACATAGAATTAGGCTTAATGTCATTTAGTTTCCTATTAAAATTTTCTGACAATAATTGTAATTATATTAAGCTAATAAGCACACAATCAGAATGGACCTCATGATTATTCTTTTTTAAAAAAGGTTCTCTTATAAACTGAATAAGCATGTCAATTTATTATTCTGAATATAACTATTGTTGTTTCCACAATTTGATCATATTATGAAATAAACCTACATTTCAGTATATATTTTAGAGTGATTATGCACAGACAATATTCATCACTCTATCCTAGGAAGAAATGCACCAAAATTGTGTGAAAATAGAACAAAAAACAACTTGTCAAATGAACAAACTTGTCCAAATAATGAAAAGACAAATAGCAAATAGCATTTGACCTAGATGAAAGTAGAATATTTTGCAAACAATATAATTGTTTTAATAATACAAAAGAACAAGTCCTAGTAAATTAAATATTATTCAAAAGAACAGACTTTTGATGTTATAGAGCAGGGGTATCAAACTCGATTTCATTGAGGGCTGCATCAGGGTTGTTTGACTTCTGGGGGCTGGGGTGGGTGTGGCCAGCTTAACGTCACTTGTGTTGGGGGCTCCTGTGGTGGCCCAAGTGCTCTGCCAGTGAAAATGGCCTCCTGAGTTCAGTTTTCAGATGCCACAGCCTCCTGCAACCTTCTGACAGTGAAAATGGAGCTTGGGAGGGTCGCACATGTTTTCGCTAGCAGAGGGTTGTAGGAGGCTGTGGCAAGTGAAAACGGAGCTTGGGAGCCCATTTTCACTGGCAGAAACACCGCAGTTCAGTCCTTCACTGTTTCTGATCCAGGGCAGCCCGGTGGGCCAGATCTAAGTACTCCATGGGCCGGATCCAGCTCCCGGGCCTTGAGTTTGACACCCCTGTTATGGAGCTATTCATATATTGAGTAGTGGGTAAATTTGTGTTTCTTTTTGTTCTAGAGACTATTATTTCATATACATATTGCCATTAGCAAATTACAAATTATGCTGATGTCTATTGCGGCTTTACCTCAATTTGCACTCAGAGAGATTCATGGATGTCCTATTTTACTGAAGTTTTTTTTCCCCTATTTTACAACAAATGCTTGAAGGAGCATGGCAAGAAGAAACATTAAAAATCTGCCTGAAGACAAATAGTAGCATATTCTCTTCCAAACCCAAATTTGGACTGCTTATTTAGTAATTGTCCTCAGATGCTAAATTCTTCCAGGAGAAGAACTTTCATAGCTGTTTTCTTTTCATGTTCCCACCTGAAAGTTTCTTTCTAATTTCAATTATGTTGTCTTCATGTCAGACTTTACTTCTAGAAACTGCCTAGAAAAGTCCATGTTATTTTCTTGACAATCTTTTTGAAAGCGATTTACTTTTGTTTTCTTCCTAGGGCTGAGAAGGCATGACTGACCCAAAGTCAACCAACTGGCTTTGTGCTTAAGCCTGGACTAGAAGTCACGACCTACAATTTTGTATTGTGGTACTGAAATTATTACACCAAACAGGTTCTCATATTTTCTACAATTACAAATAATATTCTGATATTATTACAAGTACCACAATCCTAATCATATTACATTGAATACTGAGGGAAAACAGAAAAATAAATGTTTCCCATATTTTCATTGGATTAGTATATATTGGCTTTATTGGAATATATTGGAATTCAGTGGATCTACTGTAGTTCACTGTTCATGCAATTCCTTAAAGGTTCAACATACTGGGAAAACGTGATAGAGAAATTTCCCATGATTTGCAATTCTACCAACTACTCTCCTTAATATGAATAAATGGCAAATATATTTCAACCCTGACTTGAATTTGTATTATGCAACTGCATGTATTCCTTATTCAGGAAGAGGAATGAATAGAAAACATAACATCCTCCTGTATTATGAGAGGAGTCAAAGAACCTCTTACAAACCAAAACTGAGTTTTGATTATTGAAGATGTCACAAATGGGATTGTAGTACAGATCTTCTACATCCTTCTATTTGGAATAAAACAATGCTAACATAACTTTCTTGCTTGCTTTCATTAACTGGATACCAAAAAGATATTAATGCTTAGAACCATTTTAAAGATAGCAAGCTTAAGCTAACTCTATTTATTTAACTGAACATTTATTTAACTGTTATAAAATTATAAATAAATATAAAATTAGATTTCCTTGGTTCCCATTTTGTGGCATGGATTTTGACAAAATTCATGAAGGAACCAAATTAAACATGTTGTGTATTCAATTTAAAAATTAAACTGCTTGTTTTCTGATGAGTGTAATATTTTCTATCATGTCAACCCATCTCAAAAGATATTTAATACGATTCTATTTCTTTATTTATGACTTGATTTTTTCCTATATCCTTTTTTGATTCTAATTTTTTTAAAAATGTATTGCTACCAACTTGTTTTGTTTATTAGGAAAATATTGAGACAAACAATCTGAAGATCACTACCTCCCAATATTAGTATATCTGAAACTTTAAGGCAAGTTTGGTAGTGGAGTGTCATTCTGGATGAAGGTATTATTTAATTGCTATCTGCAGATATTCAAATTGCACTTATGCTGGCAGAGTGTAAAAATATTAAGAAATATGCTATTAAACAAATCAGAATGATAAATGAGAGCATACATGCTTCAACATGCAGACAATATATGACATAACAATCCAGTAACTGTCAAAATGTTTGCATTTTTATGACAGTCCCTTTCCTGTACTGATAATCACCTGTGCTCATGAGGCTGGGTGGGTATCGAGTGGTCACTTGTTGCCTACCTATTACTGCTAAGAACAAGAAAAACAGTTTCCGGGCAGCATGCATGAGAGAGAAAAAAGAAAAAAGGAAATAAAAATAAAAATGTGCCACTTCAGAAAATTGCATTTTAATCCTGAAAATTTACACTCAAAATTTTAATATACATATATATGTATGAGATAAAGCCATTTATGAGCTCTCTGCCTGGGTTTCAATTATAATTAATATATTATGTTCTGCATTACATGAATCAGTTGCATACCGTTCACAAGCTAATGCAATTTTCACAAATAAAGTATTAATGCTAATATTGTTTGGAGACAAGGGGAAAAAAATCAGTTTACAAGAAAGAAAAAAAAAAGAAACCCATACCATTAAAGAATATAAAATTTACAGTATGTCATTAAAGAAACTAAGGATGTAACAACATATTTTTTTACAATTAAAATTCTGTGGCAGAGAACAAATAAATTGAGGCTTAATTATTATCTTATTTGAAAGGAATGCTCGTTTTACTAATGATGCACATTAAGGTTGATAAACATGTTCACTGTTTGTTTTTTTTTAAATTCTGGATAAAGTTCCACCTCTTTCTCATTTAAACTAGTTTGTCATGGATACAAGTTCAAGTATGAAAAAGACTAAAGGCACAAAACAGATTGTACTAATAATAAAGAAAAAAAGGTTAGATAGCAGTTTTATATCCATTTGAGGGATATGTAGGGTAGTGCAGATGTGTAGATCAATCATATTGTCTGCATGTATGTTTGTAATACCCTGAACATTATAATAAATTCAGGAAATTCACTATTTGGAATAAAACAGGATCTCCTGCATATAAATATCAGAGGCATATACTTTTTGTTTCAGTTGACTTAACTGAGAAGAAAATTATTTGCATTTTTGTTAAATTTATATGTGCACGTGTACACATGAAGGGTAGAGATAGTCATGGTTTGGCAATTGCCTCATGTAGTGATTGTTCACAATTATGACAGTGATGAAAAAGTAACTTTAGAATCAATCCTCACATTCACGACCTTCACAGGTCTATAAAGCAAAGAAAAGCTGAAGTAAACACAGTTGGGGCTTGACTGACAACTGCTTCCCTTAACAACAGAGTTGCCAGTCCCAGTTGTGGTCACTAAACTTTGAAGTGCTTCAGAAGACAATTCTTGCTTTAATCAAGGACTGACCAAAATGTCCATCCCTCATTTTTTAATTGGGTGAATAGTTGGGTAGAATGGAAGCAGCCATGAGTTGATTTCCAAATGATTATGGAAAAAAGGAATTAATTTCTTGAACAATGTCTTCTTTTTCATTATTTTTAAAGTTCTAGAAACACAGAAATGACAGAAAGTCCTGTTAGCCAGTTTCCTCCTAAATTAAACAGGGATTGCATTGTACAATGGGAAACTTGCATGCATACTTTTATTTTTCAGAATTAATTCATCTTGCAGATTATTTGATTACCATGGAAGGAGTACTACATTGACATACTGGAAATTGGTAAGGTAAGAAGCTACCTTCCATATGCTGATATTAAATAGCACTTTCTTGCTTTCCCCCCTCTTGAAATTGTTTCAGCCCAGCCCACCTTATTTAATTTCATGATAGAGAATTTCTTATTTTATTTCACCCAAATTCCTGAAATGAAAACGAAGTAATTTTGACTTGGTTTCTACATTCTTTAGCAATTATCATGGGGCTTTATGTTAGATACTCTTGTCACTAAGAGTAACATAATATGTATTGACATTTTACACCAGCTTCTAATATTTCATTTTGGAGGCACTGGTAATGAATGTTGGTTAAATTGGAAATGCTAGCCCATATCTGAAGACTACAAGACTTCACAGTAAGACCAGATACATGTATTTTCCCAGTTTATTCAGGAATGGTAGAAGATGGGCAAAAAGAAATCATATAAATAATACACCTCCTTTGGAGAGGCAGTTTTTTGGTTAAGTGCATTGTTAAGAGCCGTGGTGGCGCAGTGGTTAGAATGCAGTACTGCAGGTTACTTCTTCTGACTGCTGGCTGCCTGAAATTTGGCAGTTCGAATCTCACCAGGCTCAAGGTTGATTCAGCCTTCCATCCTTCTGAGGTCCGTAAAATGAGGACCCAGATTGTTGGGGGCAATATGCTGACTCTGTAAACCATTTAGACACGGCTATAAAGCACTGTGAAGCAGTATATAAGTCTAAATGCTATTGCTTCTATAAATGAGAAAAAGTTACTAGTCTTTCACTATCTCATAAGAGAGCAGAATGTGCAAAAAGAACAAGTAGTCCTTGACTTATGACCATTTGTTTAGCAACCAAAAGTTACCATGGCGCTGATGAAAGGGACTTATGACTGGTCCGCACACTTATTTTATTTTATTTATTTGTTTGTTTGTTTGTTTGTTTGTTTGTATCTCATCTTTATTATTTTTATAAATAACTCAAGGTAGCAAATATGCCCAACATACCTTCCTCCTCCTATTTTCCCCACAACAACTATCCTGTGATATGGGTTGAGCTGAGAGAGAGTATCTCATTGTTCATTATGACCATCACAGCAGCCCCATAGTCATGTGATCAAAATTTGGACACTTGGCAGCCAGCATGTATTTATGATAGTTGTGGTGTCCCAAGGTAAAGGTCGTCATCAGTTTATGATTAGTTGCTTAGTGACCATTTGAAGTTATGGTCTCCCTGGAGGTACTTGCAACCCAGTGTCAAAGTTCCAACAATCGTCCCTCTCCTATGTGACTGCACCTCAGGCACTTTTGTCACAATTTCTATTCAAGTGTTTTACTCCAAACAAACTTTTACTCCAAAGTGTTTTACTCCATCTCTACATATGTAACTCAAGAGATTCATGTTACATGTTTAACATCATTAAAGATAGGCTGAAAGTCTTCACATGTACCGTTCACTGACTTCCACCTAAACTAGGAACCTGCATAAAAATGGTTGTAGTTTATATGGAGGTCAACTTTTTAGAAATAAATTGACACCTTGCATGATTGGGGCAGTCCAAATCTCTGGGGTGATGCTACTCCAAAGGGCAGCCAAGACAACAAAGAAAGCATACTTCCTAGGTCCTATTAGATAACATTGATTAAAGGATGGGACACAAAATGCATCCACTCGGTCAAGTTTTGTAGGACAAGCAAAAATGATGGGGCAAAGATGGTCCTTTAAATAGTCTGACCCTATGACATGGTTATTATAAATGGTGGCAAGCATCTTGAAACTTTTCAACTTTGATTTTCATATCCTGATAATTTGAAATCTTCTCCAATTCTTTGTCTTCTATTCTACTATCCCCTGATATTGCCAATTTTTATCCATATTTTCTTGTTTTCCACCACAGCTAAATTTGGTGGGTTATAAACCAAGACTTCATCAATTTGTATTGAGAAATCACACAATATTGGCAACTACTTTTTTTAATTCTATGTTCTCACCAATTTTTCCTTACTGACACATGATAATTTTCTGTTCACTGTTCCAATGAATAATTTCAGTGACTCTGTTACGTTGTTCTTTATAATCAGTTTATGTATCTTGAAAAATCTCAGCATTTGATGTAATATTTCTTTTGCTTCTTTGCAAATATGCACTTTGAATCATTTGATGTAATTTCAATTATGGTCTTGATTGCATTAGTTCAAATGGCTTGCTCTTGAGTAGCCAAAATCAAGCCTTCATTTTTTTGTTAACATTTTTTTGCAAATATTTCAGTTGTAAGCCATTGCCAGTTTTATCTTTATCCACTTTCCCCTTGATCTTTTGCAGAAATTGACCATGATGTACTTTTCCTTGCCAAAATTCTACTTGTGTTTTTACAATCTATCAATATTATTAAAGGGATATAATGCATAGTAAATAGTCATCAGTTTTCTAACTTTTGGTCCAAGCTGTCCAGTTCAGCTTTTGTCCAGTTACTAATTCCTACTATTTTGTTTCATACGTATGGACTAGATATTGATGACTTTGATGTTGTATCCACTGCTCAATTTTGTCTTTAGCAATTTTCTCACTCTTACTTTTTTTTCTTATTACATGCTAGTGTTATTTCTAGAATTCCTTCTTTATTCAGATCACAATTAATAGATCACAAGCATATATACTAATTTGCCACATATTTCAAATGCTTACATGTTTCTGCTATAAAACTATTTGAAGATAAAATGAATAAATGAAATATCCCTTTCAAACTCTTTTGATAGATGCCTAACAGTACAAATTTTTCCTTGTTATACCTACATTACATCTTTCACACCCCATTGCTAAAAACAATTTCTTTTTAAAAGAAGTTTTTTTTTTCTACAAAAGAACAGGGAAACCACAGGGAAAGTAATCTTTCTATGCTATTTTGGAAAAAAAGATTAATTATATTCCAGGTATTAAGGAGAAAGTAGAGAATCCAAATTTCTTGGCATGAATCATTAAACAATTGAGAAATTAACAGAAACTTCTCAAACTTCACCAAACTATAACCACCTAAAATAATATATGAATGATAAGTGTATCTGCAGCTTTATCATATACTGTCTTTATCATATACTATTTTATACAGTATACTGTCACCCTGCCTATTTAACTTATATGCAGAGCACATCATGAAAAATGCGGGACTAGATAAATCACAAATTGGAATTAAGACTGTGGGGAGAAATATCAACCTCAGATACGCAGATGATACCACTCTAATGAAAGTGAAAGTGAAGAGGAACTAAAAAGCCTCTTGAAGCGGGTGAAGGAGGAGAATGCAAAAGTTGGCTTGAAACTCAACATTAAGAAAACTAAGATCATGGCATCCAACCCTCTCAATTCCTGGCAAATAAATGGGGAAGAAATGGAGATAGTGACAGATTTTATTTTCCTAGGCTTCAAGATCACCACAGATGGGGATTATAACCCAGAAATTAAAAGACGCTTGCTCCTGGGGAGGAAAGCTATGGCAAACCTAGACAGCATACTAAAAAGCAGAGATATCACCCTGCCAACAAAAGTGCATATAGTCAAGGCTATGA